ACACACACACATACATACATATACACACACTGTACATATGTATACAATATAAACAAGCACATTTGAGCCGTGCATTGGCAAGAATCAATACATATCACGATGCAGGAGTTACGATTCAATATATTGTGATATTTTGTGATACTGTAAGCAAGACGATATATTGTGATTTAAAAAACATTTAAAAAACTGTTATAGTATAAATAACACACAACCATATGCAGAAAATAAAAAAGTTTATTTTTCAATACAACCAGAACTGTGGGATCTGCATTTGTGTTTGTCATAGTCACTGTAACATTTATCTTAATAGTCCTCAGTTTACAACACTGCTATCTAGCAGTTGGGCCTTCAAACACAAAAATCTATATGTTTTTGACAATTGATATAAAATATCACAATACAGTATTTTTTCATATTTTTTAAAGCACATATGCTGACTTGGCACACAACACACACTAATTGATGTCCATTTTGCCTTACGTGTTTCTCAGGAGAATCTCCTGATGCGAATCCACTTCCACATCAGTGCGGAGAGTAGAGAGGACATCTGCACAGCCAAACACTGTATACCACACCAGAAGTTTGCCATGACTCTGTTCGAACAGGTAGGAAATCGCTTTAAAGAGCTGTTACGTGGTTCACTTTTGGGGCTTTAATTAAAAAATAACTGTCCACACAAACATTTTTAAAGAACATGATGTCCTGCGATGATTCTGATGATGTATTTGTGTTTGCAGTGTGTGTGTAACAGCTGTGGAGCCACATCAGACCCCTTGCCCTTCATTCAGATGGTTCATTACATCTCCACTACATCCCTCTGGTAAGACCAGACACACACCTACACACACACACACACTCGCTGCACACACACACTGCAGTAAATCTGGCAGCAAGCTGAGGCTGGGTGGCAGTAAAGGAAGGTACAGCGTGTTCTCTTCTTCCCTGCACGGGTCCCTGCTGAACACTCAACTCTGAGCACACACATGCACACACACACACACACACACACACACACACAAACACACTTATTATGCACACACACGTGTATGTTCATGCATATGCAAGAGCAGGTGAGCTTGTGCATACCGTCTCTCGATTCAGGTAGACCCACAGTCAGGTAAATCCATGCACAGGAGAAGGCCGTGTGTGCATCCTCAGAGCTGTTACATAAAACTCGCACACGCTCTCAGTCAATGAAATAAGGAACAGGGGAAGTAATCAATCAGCTGTTTGATTCAGTAGACCCAGGGGGCAACATAAATCTATAAGTGGAACAGTGGGTCGGAAAGACTGCGAACAAGAGGGAAATAAGAGGATATATCACTCCATATCCCTTTTGGAAATGGAACACGGCAGAGGAAATAGAGGGATGAATGGGGGGCAAAAGTACAAATAAACACACTGTGTCAAGGTAGTTGTGGGCCACAGCGGTGCCACCGCTCTGTGTTTGTGCCTGTTAGCACTGCCAAGCTATTTTTACCCTTAGTGGAGCCTGTTGTTTACAGCCGAGATAGCCAAATATGCAAAAGTCAACATGAGTAAGATAATCAGAGGGCAACAAAAAGACAAAACAAATGTCTGGTTCAAGCACAATTCAGACGTAAGTAAACAAGTGTGTTCCCGGCTAGTGCGTGGTTGTTGTTTCTGCTTTCTCAGCCTTGCATCTGCCTGTGCATCTGAAGAGGAGAGGCAGAGTGAGGGGTTGAAATCGAGTGAGAGAGAGTGGAGAAGAGGCTGAGTTCATTTCAGGCTAATGGAAGGGGTGAGAGGAGGAGAGAGAGAGGGGGGAGGAGGAGAGATTTGGATGGTTTTTAAAATCGTTATTCTTAAAGGAATACTTCACCAGAAAAAAAAACAAAAAACAAAAAAACAATGCTGATTCATTGCACTCATAATCCCATACATGGTACCGAGCTGCAGATGGGAGTTCATTCGGTATTCACACTCAGTAATAACGTATATTTGAGTTTGTCCTTCAGAGGACAATTGTACTTAAGAGGGATAAATGCAGCTCAGTATTAAAGTATCATTGCTTTAAGCCTTGATGAAGGAGATTGTCTCAAAAATAGTTTTTGCTCCACCAGTAAAGCTTTTTTTTCATGGAATGATTAGTTGTAAATGAAGGTCTCCTTTAATGATCATAACAATAATAACGTTTCTGTACTGTTATTGTTCCCTGTGGGGAAATAGTCTTTTAGCTTTTACCACTTCAGGAAGGTCAAAGATCATAATCTGACAGACAGGATTTAGAATATGGGATCTTTCTCACAGCCTTAATGACTGTATAATCTAGATTTGTTCTTACTTTTCCTTCCTTTCCTTTCTCTGTGAAAACTGTCCCTTGGGCCTTCACAGAGTCGGTGTGTGAGTGGTTGCCTAAGCAATACACAAGGCCAGTGAATAACACAATGTATAATTGTAATATTTTCAACTGATTTTCAGCCATAAATACCACAGGAAAGGAAACAATTGTCTGCAGATTACTGCACAGCACCACAAAACAGACAAACTTAACAAGAATGGAGACAATGTTTCTGGTGGCCACAAGTCACATTTGGGCTTGACAATAGATGTTTTCTTCTATTCACAAAAGCTTTTGTCTCATTCCAAGCAGCACACACAGTGAGTGTCACTGAATGTGTAATCTTGTTGTTGTGTGTGTGTGTTTTCAATGCTGCAGTAACCAGGCGGTGAGGATGCTGGAGTGCAGAGAGAAACCCACACCGGACATGTTTGGAGAACTGCTCCGCAACGCCAGCAACATGGGAGACCTACGCAACTGCCCTGTGAGAGCACACACACACCACACACACACACACATTCACACAACACATGGACGCAGGTTTCAATGTGCACACTCAGCAGCTTCATACTGCACACACACAAAAAAATGTACAAAACTGTAAAATACTGTAAAATAAATTGTGTTTTTTCCAGTATGAGTTGAGTTTTGTTTTTTTAAGAAAAGAAAGATAAATCTATTAACTTCTTTTTTCTAATATCAAAAAATAGAATAATAAATAAATAAAAGTAGGGTGAGGTTCAATAAAAATTATATATTTTTTCACTGTAATCACTTTGATAGTTTCATAATTTCTTGTTTCATTTTTTTCCTTCTTTCTTGTTGCGTCTTTGTTACATAATCAGTATCTCATTTGCATTTTCCTCCCATTTTTCTTTGCCCTTTCTATCACCAGAAGCAATTTCTAAGTTGTCATCATCGACCTCCTTTACAGTAAACCACAATTATCACCATCGTCTTGCAGCATGAAACAAAAGAACAGTTGGTTGTGGAGTAAAAAAACATTTTAAACCAATATGCTCATTCTAAAAAAAATGTGTGGGCATTTTTGGGTGAAAACTGGTAGATGGAAGAAACTAAAGAGATATTACAGTCAGAGAAAGAAAGAAGAGGTGTAGGTAGTGACGGAGGTGGACAGAGGAACGTCTGTGATGCCTTTGTTCTGCAGGTTTGTGTTGTGCTGTCACATGGGAAAGTGCTGCTGCTGAATAGATTCAGCCTGGTCGCTCTCTGCCAAAGTATCAGCACAAAGAGCCTCCTCAGCTGCCCCTCTCCTCACGCAGCAGCCCCACCACAACCTCAACTGCTTTAGCTACACTAATACACACCATTAGCTTATTCACAGCCCAAACGCTGAGGTTGTGTGTTCAGTCCTGTGGGAGTCACACAAAAACCTGCTTCTGTTTATCTTCCATCACTTGCAGCCCTGATCTTTTGTTAATACCACACCAGGCTTTGCTCAAACAAAGTGATGGTATTTGGATGGCGGTGAGGCTGCTGGAAGATACTGTAGGTGCCAGATTGAAGATAGGAAAGTGTGAAGATGTTTGCTTGGTGCCAAAGAGTTGACAGAGGGAACAGTGAAGTTCTGGATAGATGACTTTTGTTCAGTTATGAGCTAAAATGAATTTAAATAATTGATTATATAGTTGCTGTGGTGGAAGAAGTTTCAGTTTTTATAATATCAAAATACAAATTTTATACTTAAAGGCCACATTTTGTCCATCTTACTATAAGTGGTAAGATCCTACTTGAACACTCACATGTGAGATTTCTGTATTTTTGTCTGTGTTCTTGTCACTGGTTTGTTGTGGACTGTGTTGGAAAAAGGGATGTCACATATATCCATGTACCAATTAGGATTTAGCAATGTTGTTTGATTCTGTGTATGTATTATATGATTGTACCTGCCCAGGGACTGCAGATGTTAATGAGCTAATAGCTAAATTTGGCAGAAATCATCTCTTCTCATTTTGAAATTAATGTTTTTTTTTTTAAATATTGTAGTATTGTATTGTAATGTTTGATGCAGAACTGATATATATACTAGACTAGTTTAGTCTGCAACAGTACATTACATCTATAAGCTGACCATATGTTGTGTATCTAAAATCTGCAAAGGTACTCAAGCTTTCAGTGCAGAGAAATAGGACAAAACATTACAAACAAACACAAGTATTTCAAAGATTAATTACAGTTTTTTTATAACCGTGAACCTGTTTAACTACACTTGAAACATGCAAACTACAATTAGCAACATTAGAAAAATCCCTTTTTGACACATTAAACTAATGACAAATAACAAAAAGCCCCACTTGTGACCCATGCATGAGCATGCAACAGCTTTGTAGGGCTCACAAATGTATTAGCAAATTGCAAGCAACAATTATTTGTGAAACGTGACTCTGCGACTATTAGCGACTAATAGTGCTTCAAAATACTTTAGTGAAACCGTTCTCAGGGTTTTATTTCCGTAGATTCTTATCGGTATAATGACTTTAATCTTGCCAGATTGCTTGGATCTGGGTACAAAGAGGAATTGACATAGTAAGAACCACATGCAGTCAGGCAAGTTTTACCTTAAACTTATTTGGAAGAGAAAACAAAGGTGAACGGCAAAATTACAACCCACACTGTGACTGCTGTAGATGTGTGCCAACAGTTCAGGTGTGGTCACTTTTAATTTCTTACTCCAAATTAAGTGGTTAAAGGATCTGGTTTAAACTGTTCCCTTGGTTACGACTTCATCAACTGATGGACTTCGGCTTTCCCTGATCCCAGAAATAACTTGTGTGTAATCATAATTGATGGAAATAATGGCCAAAACTGCACAAATAACACCAAAGTTGTAAAAAAAAAAAAAACGGGATCTGGAACTCAACGGAAGTATAGCAAATGCACTCAGTGACCTTCCACCTCTGTATTGATGTATGGTGGTTTCATTGTTCACTGTCAACAGACTGCATCCTCAGCTGTCACTACATTGATAAAAGTGGGATTGTCTCTTTATTTTGGTGCTGTATGAGTCGTGAGGAAGCATAAGCACAAACATTTTCCTAAAGTTGTTTCATTTTGCTCTAAAGAATGCCACGATCAGCATTCTGCAAACCTACAGTATCCTTTGACCAGCAGCACTGTTATATAACTCACTCTCCCTTGGAAAGGTCTGCATAGCCACAGCAAAAAAAAGAAAAAAAAGAAAAGAAATCTTTGCATATAAAATTCAGAGATGAGACCGCAAGATCAATGTTGTATTATGAAGCAGAGCGAATCTGTTTGTACGATCATTTGATGAATGATGTTGTCACCGGCTGTTCTCAGCAGAGACACAGCACAGAGAGCTAACTGAGGCTGTGTGTCCCGTCGGTGTGTCCTAAGCTAACAGATAGCCCGTGTCTCAGTTGCTGTGCTGTTTGGCTGCGGCTCCCTGGCTTGTGTTTGTGTCCCTTTCTGAGAATTGAGAAGCAGACCCTGGCAAAATACCTTCCTGCCATCTCTGGTGCCAGTGCAAGGCAGCCCGCCGCCCACAAAGGGAGAGTTCTGTGTGTGTTTGTTGTGCATATGTGTGTGTGTGTGTTGTGTTTGGCAAAGTGTCTGGTTGCCAGGGTGTTCTCAGGCTGTTTCCGAGCCCGCTCTGCCAGCACTGCGTGCATGCTCTTGTGTGTGCATGTGTGTGTGCGCACCAGCTCTGCGGTGGGTCATGACTCAAAGGAAAGATTCAGAACACATGGTTCTGAACTCAACAGAAGGCCCAAGGGACAAATACAACTCAGCCCAGTGTTTCTTTCTCTGTCATTCTCTCTTACAATCCTTTCATCGTATCTTTTCTCCTGCCTTTTTATCTCTGCTCCTAATTCTCCTACTGTTCAGTTCATCCGTGTGTGTGTCTGCATGCGTGTGCGTGTGTTCATCACTGCCAAATAAAGGGATGATTTTAGCGATGTACACCGCTGTCACACTGCCTCATAACAGAGGATGAATAAACCTGTTTGATCACACGCTCCTCTCCCTCCCTCCATCCCAGAGTAACTGTGGGGAAGTGTTGCGTATCCGCCGGGTGCTGATGAACTCACCGGAGATTGTGTCCATCGGGCTGGTGTGGGATTCAGACCACTCTGACCTGGCGGAGGACGTCATACACAGCCTGGGGACCTGCCTGCGTTTGGGAGATGTAAGGGGATCACACATGCATTACACACATTATGCGGCCATTATAACACATTAACATATGTTATGTGTGCTTATGTGAGCAGTCACGCACATCTGCCTAAATACAGACACACTGCTCAAAATGTGTTAGTGAGAAGAGCTGTGTGCACATTGTGTACTGTAAGATGAACATTAAGAGTCAATATTAAATATGGGAGTTTTCCAAAAAACAACCTTCCTTTTTTAAACATATGAAGCAAGCCACACAACATACAGTTAAGGGTCTGTTCCAAGGCTGTATGTTTGGTTATTAGTGTTGTTGAACTCTGAAGTTCAGGTTTCACTTCGGCTCTCTATTTTAATTGAAATCTGCTAACTGCTAACAAACAAAATATCCCAGAAACTTAACCTCTAGGTGAGAAGTTACAAATCCCCCAGAGCCATATTCACACACACACACACACTCATAATCAAACAGTCCTACATGCAAGGACACACATGTACTCTCAAAGACACACACGTGTAAACGCACATGTGCTCAAACAAAGCCAGAATACAGATAAGTGCACACTGTAACGCCCAATAAACTTGTCCCGTTCCAACACACTCTGGAAAACAACGAATTATAACACATGACACATTCAACCTGACCTTTATTACTCTCATATAGAGCTGAGCTCCTCCGTCTCCCGCTTTCACACCTCACACACACACACACACGTACGGCCTCTGATACTCCATGTCATGACTGAGTAATGTTGATGCATTTTAATGGCACTGTAACATCTCCAGCCGCATTCTGAAGCGATATCTATGAATAATGGATCAGTGAATATGACTGTGTGTTACAGTGAGTCAAATTCTTTCCTCTATCTTCTATCGTCTGTCTCCGCCTGCTGCTGTCTCTGGTTTTCATCCCGCTCTTGTGAGATGAAGCTAGTTGTTAGATAGAAATCGGAGGCATAATCTATCGCATTTCCTGCTTTTGTTAAGTCGTTTAGATCAGGAAAAGTGAATCCATCTGCCTCCTGCATCCCCGCCCCCTCCTCTGCCACTGCTTTTACTTTCTCTCTTTGTCTGTCTTCTGCATCTCTTTTTTTCTGCTTCCTTGTTACTCTTTTGTGTACTTTCTCTCCATAGATTGGATTATTTTAATGCTGAAACAATTAAAATATGAGATTAAATAGATAACAAGTTTGATTTTCATTTATCATGCAAAAATGCTAAACTTGCTGTTTCCAACTTCACATATATATCAAGCATATTTGATTTTTATCATTGGTAACTGAATATCTTTGAGTTTTTGGCTGTTGAGCAGACAAAGAAGCAGCTTAATGCTGTCGCTTTGGGTTGAAGAAAGTCGTGACAGGCTTTTTTCTGACATTTTGAGAACTTAGGTAATCAATAATGAAAGTAATTGTCAGTTGCAGGCCTAGATCATTTGCCATTGTACTGAGTTAAACCATGAGCAGCAGCAGGTAAAGATAGGGTTACACAGAGGGTTATGTTAAGCAACTTCAGTACTTTTTTCTCGTTGATCTGAAAATGTGCAGCGGTATAATTTGCAGCAGCTGACCTTACTGAGACATCAATGTGAGATCATTTCTGCATGAAAAGCTGCGGCTCATGTGTAGCACTGTACAGTATGTGCAGCAGACAGTGAGAGGAAAGTGAGGAGTTTGAGAAAAGGCAGTATGTGAAGGATTACTGCATACAGCATATATACACTAGGTGAGCAAAAATGTGCTTGTATTCACATTAACTCCTCTATCTCTATTCCCCCTCCTCCTACTGCACACCTCTCCCTCTCTTCCCTGCATCTCTCCCTCCCTGCCTGTCTCCTCCCCCTCCCTCCCTCCCCCTCCCTCTCTTCTCTCTCTCTCTCTCTGTAGTTGTTCTACCGTGTGACAGAGGAGAGGGCTCGCCAGGCGGAGCTCTACTTGGTGGGCATGGTGTGCTACTACGGTAAGCACTACTCCACCTTCTTCTTCCAGACCAAGATACGCAAGTGGATGTACTTCGACGACGCCCACGTCAAAGAGGTGAGAAGCAGTTTGGAGTCTGCATGCTGCAACACGGGGAGGGGGGGTGCTGTACAGTATCTGCTGCATCTCCAGTTGTGCCTGTGAGAGCAGCAATGACAAGAACTACGCTGTATGTTAGTCTAAGTGCTGCATGGTCAGCGGGGGCGGCTCGAGATTGATTATGTGTTTCAGGTTTAATCGCTGTCTTTGTCTCAATCTTAGCACAGGTTTAAGTGCTAAAACTGGACTTGTGTTTCAATACTTCATGATTCAATTGTTAGTTGTGTTCCACAGGGCTGGAAAATTATATAAATTTTGCAGGGGCTGAATCGAGTGAAGCTGGGTTTGTTCGTGTCAAAGTG